TCGTGCAAGAGAGTGCGGATTAAAGTCCGAAGTCCAAATTAAACTACTTATTACAAAACTGAATTAAATTATTAAAGCATTAACTAGCTAACTATGCTATTACAACAAGGGTAACCATGATAAGTAAACTAGTTATTTAAGCTAATTAACTACAACAATTACAAATAAACAATAATCATAAATTAATTAATTACAATAATGATAATTAATTACAACAATAATAACTAATAATTTAATCATCAAATAAGGATGCACGATGTTCGCATTTGCAGCGTCCAAGAACAGCACTGTCTGCCCAGACCATTCTGTTTCACCTTCAGCCACAACTTTCTGTTTTTTTTTCAAAAATACACTGCTAACCAAACATCGAGGACCGGCCGACCCTCAATGAAGCCCGGTCGTGCCTCAAATTTGTGCAAAACTCTGTTTTGTGTATTGTAGTGAAAACAGTGCAGACAGAGTGTTCTGAGCTCTGTTTGTCCGTCTCACACTTCTCTATCATGGGAAAGCCTCGAGAAAATGTTAGAATGGTTTCCGAAACCATCAATGAGCAAATTGATTGCTTGGTGGTTTCGATGAACAACTTGGACAAAAATCAATAAATGAAATGAACAACGACCTCCCCTCCCTCCTATCATGGAGTGAACTCAAAGAGGGAGGTAGAAACGCTTCAAGATCCATCAAAACATCATGAATTGATGTTAGACAACTCTTGACAAACGAATTCGGCATAACGTCCGGCCGAACCCCAAGCAAGATAACTCATTTTCTTTATGTGAGTTGGTTCATTTTAAGCCAAATTCATTAGTCTTTGCCATCCTCTAATCTATTAAGCGTAAATCGCTAGTTCACATTTTGAATAACCATTAACTGATTGAAACAACTCTCAAATGAAGGAGATGAATGCTTATTAAAATGAGGTTCTTAAACATGGAAATGAATTGAAGAAAAGCTTGGAACAATATACGACAAGCTATGTATGCAAACTTATGAGACAACAACCAAGCTAATCAATGCACGAACTATTTAAACAACTTAGAACAGCCCTAAAACAGCCTTCAAGTGATGAAAAATAGTGGCTAACAATGCATGAAAAGAGCCTAAAAAGCTAAATAACAAAGAGAGGAAACAAGTCTAGTAAGCAAGAACAAGGAGAAGTGGTTAACCCCTCCACTTTTGAAACCTCAAAGCATGGTTTTTAGCCTTTTTCAAACTCTGAAAATCAGTGTAGAGAACAAAGAAAAAGAGTGTAAAAGTAAGGGTTTGAGCTATAGGTAAAGGTGTAGAAAGAGTAAACTCTCTCTACCCTTTTGGTAGCTCTTCAAACCTAAACTTAAACACTTAGACTAAGATCAAAATAACACAAAACAATAGGAACTAGGTAGCAAATGAAGGAAATGAAAGCAAGAAGGAATATAGCAAGCTTATACGTCTCAAGGGAATAAGCCTTTTGTTTGTGATCAAACTAAGCTCCAACACAGTCTCAAGCTTAAATTATGGTGTTCAAGGCTCAACCAAGGTTCCTAGACCAAGGTATGAAGGTGTGTATGGTGTATGAATATAGGTTCAAGGTGGTAGGTAAACTCAAGGTGTTGCTTGCACAAGAAGAAGGGGAAGAAGGAGCTCTTAAGGTGATATATAGGCCTTCTTGAAATTCTTCAACCCTCAAAACAGAGGTATATGGTTGTTTTTATAGAATTTGAGCCAAAAATATCATAAATATCTTCAAAAATGGACAGCTGGTGGCCTCCTGCTCAGAACAGTGTTTCTCGCTACCAAGGCCCGGCCAGCCCTAAATAGCCACGGTCGACCCTTAATGAGGCACGGCTGGGCCTCAATGCATTCCCCTATTTTTCTATTTCAGCCTCAACAAAGGGTGGCATAATGTGTAAAGATAGATTTCTTGGGTATAATTAGTGTAAATATTGGAGGTTTGGGATTGTTTTGGAGCTTGAACATGGCCATTTCATTAAAACCTCTAACCACGCACAACACCATTTTCATCATTAAGTGTACTGGACAAAGCGCTCGAGCCTTGCGGGCGATCAAAAATGGGGTGTCCACAACTATCTTCAACTAATCCAATGATATAGTCCTTCTCACTACTATAATATGAAAATTTTCATTATTTCGTGATACTAACACATGTTATCATTGTTATGCCTAATCAAGAGCTCAAGGGTTGCATTCAATCAAGCAACAACCTAATGACAATATATACTTTCTAAAATTCTCTCCATTACATCATTTAAGAGTTATGAAAAATCTATTATGCTTTTTAAAACACTTCTCACTTTTATGAAAGGGTAAGCTTTATGTTATTTGGGTGATGTAGCTTTGACTTTGTATTTTTAATTATTTATAAATAAGTTATGATTTGGGTAAACAACTTTTGACATTGCTGCCTTGGTGTGTGTAAGTTTTCACTAGAGTTCGACAAATCAAGGTGTGTTTTCTTTTTATTTTTTTTTAATCACAAGTTGGCCAAATCAATTGTCATAAAATGTGACCAACACAGATGGATGTAACCTATGTATTTATCTCAGACTTATTCTATTGTCAAACTCTTATGATCGACTTTTGCTTTGTAGTACAAATTTAATGTTTTGGATATATATGTATAATTTCTCCTCGGTGCTTCATTTGAGGATTTTTTTTTTAATTAGAATTTTTCCTTAATTTGGTATAAGCTGCTTGCTGATCTTCTTGTAAGTGTCGTTTGACTAATCTTACCTTAATGGAAATTACTATTGATATTAAAAAAAAAAAAAATGCAACCCACTAGGTAAATAAACAACATAATACATTGATATTCTTCTGGTTTTACAAGATGCCAATTATGTCAACGTGGTTAATTCCAATCATATCAAATACATTGTTTATTTTTTCAGTGTATCTATAGTCTCACAATTATAGCATTACAATGGCATACATCAATAAATAAAGAGGGGAGCAAGTGCAAAAATATCATAACATAACATAACTACCGCGACTATGTTAGCACTGAAATATATGCTCAATTATATGCTAACACTGGAGCCAATCAAAATACAAGGAGCAAGGAAAGAACAAAGAAAATCTTAAATGCACCCAAAAATTCACACCAAATCCAGCCCACCTTAGCAACAAAATAAAAGAAAAATTCCAGCCCACCTCAGTAGCAAACATAAAGGTCCATCACAACTCACTCAGCATTTAAATAAATTCAGCATCTACAAGTCATTCCTCACTTCAACATCCACTACAACATATAAAATTTTTAAAAATCAAATATTTTAGTATTTAAAAATAAAAATTTTGTTGCAAAAAATATTTAGGAATTAATTTCTATCATCATGAAAATAGTCATTAAAAGATCGTCTTGAAAAGTCAAAAATAAAGCTTTTAGCGACAAAATTTTGAAAATGCCACTAATAAATAAACTTTAGGGACAAAATAATTTAGTCACAAAATAGTTTATTTTTTGAAACAAAAAAGGATAATAATTCATCACTAATATCCAATTTTTATTGCCAAAATTATAATGATACTTTTCGCAACAAAAATATTTAGGCCCTAAAAAATAATTTTATCCTTAAATTTTGATCTTTAAAATTTTAATTTTTTGAGTCATCATCCATAAATGGTTAAATTCCAAAACCATCAATTTTAAATGCCTAATTCTGAAAGCTACTATATTATATTACACATACCTCTTCGCACTCTTATTATTTATTATTATTATTTTAATTCTTTGGTGTGCTTTCATTTTCATGTTTTTTTAATCATAAGTAGGCCAAATCAACTGTCATAGAATGCGACGGACACATATGGATGTAACTTATACATTTATCTTAGCCTTATTCTATTGTCGAACTTCTATGATCGATCTCTACTTCATATTTTGAATTTTATGTTTTAACATATGTATAGTTTCTCCTTTGTGCTTCATTTGAGAATTTTTCATTTGTTTTTTAATTAGAACTTTTTAGTTTGGTGTAAGTTTCTTATTGATATCCTTGTAAGTGTCGGTTGGCTAATCTTATTTTAATAGAAATTATTATTGATCAAAAAACAAAAAATGCGACCACTACGTAAATAAACAACATAATAAATTGATATTCTCCTGGTTTTACAAGATGCTAGTTATGACAATTTGGTTAATTCCAATAGTATCAAATACATTCTTTATTTTTTCAGGGTATCAATAGTCTCACAATTCAGAACAGCTGTTTAAAAAAATTAAATATATATGAAAAATCAAATGATCAATTTAATGGGGGAATGAACCCTTTCTAGTTAGATGTCAACTCTACACACTTTAAAAAAAAGTAAATACACAGCCTAGTTTATAAAATGGCATTATTAATTAGACTAATTTTTTTATAAAAAAAATGAAAAATTCAAAAGTAAAATAGATGCAATTACAAAAACTAAATTAATACAAGAGACAAGCTACAACAACAATACAACAACTGGCCTAATTTATATGAAAAAATATATATATATTTTTGGTAAATTACACTTTTCCCCAGTATAGTTTAATCTAAATTTACTTTGGTCCCTATTGTTTCAATTTGAACACTTTAGTCCTTGTACTTTAAATCTACTTTTAATTTGATCCTACTCAAGTTGGAGGTTCAAATTAACAGTTATGGAACACTTCTCTATCTCCAAGGCATACATGTAAAAAAATTTAATAGAAATTTGAACGGAGTAACTAAATTAAAATTAAATTTAGGAAATTGTTAGGAATCTCAAATATTTTATTAATATTTCTACCAAATATTTCAAATGGGTGTGAGTCCCACACCATGTGGGTCCCACACCTATATGAGATATTTGATAAAAATATTGATAAAATATTTGGGATCCTAGAGATCAAAATGCTCAATTTAAAATAATAGAGATCGAAGTGAAATTGGGTCAAACTATACAGCTAAAAGTGTAATTTCGTTTTTTTTGTCTTTTTTTTAATCTTGTTGACCAGACCCCTCAGTGCTATTATTGTTGATGATCAATTGAGAAATGCCAAATTCTCTCCTAACATTTTTGTAGATGCCATTGTTAATAAGACGAGAGAAAAGACTTCTAAATTGTATACATACAAATACAGCTTAGCCAGAGAATTATTGCAACTGAGTGAAAAAAAACAAACCAAAATGGTTACACAAAGCATTCCAACTGTGGATCTCTCTCCCTTCTGCCATGAAAATGGCAGCAACGAGGCTGTGAAGAAGAGAGCCATAGAGGAAGTTGGCAGAGCCTGCTCTGAATATGGCTTTTTCCAAGTTGTGAACCATGGTGTGCCCTTAGGTCTGTTGGCTCGTGCCCTTGAACTGTCCCAGTTATTTTTCGATTACCCATTGGAAGAGAAGCTCAAAGCCAGTCCCATTCCAGGAGCACCACTTTCTTTGGGATATACCAAGCAGATTGAGCACTTGACTGATAATAACGAGTACATACTCATGTTCACACCTGAGTCAAGCTTCAATGTCTATCCTGAAAATCCCCCTGAATACCGGTATTTTTTACTACTTACAAGTGATTTTTTTTAGGAAAATGATTCACACCTAAGTCAAGCTTCAATGTCTACCCTGAAAATGCCCCTGAATACCGGTATTTTTTACTACTTACAAGTGATTTTTTTTAGGAAAATGATTTTCCTCCCGAATTTTTCTCCCCCGAATCCCTTGACTGCTCAAAACGACGTCGTTTTGGGCAATTTTCTTTTTTTCTTTTTTTCTTTCCTCATTTATGTCTGAAACTCAGAGAGAAGAAGAGGAAGAGGAAGAGAAAGAGAGAAAGAGAAGAGAGGAGAAGAGGGAATGGAGAGAGAGAGAGAGAGGGTCGCCGTCGATTGCCATCGCCGCCGGCCTCCGCCTCCGCCTCCACCTCCGATTTTTCAGCCCGTTTTTTTTTTTTTTTCCGATCGGCCATTTTGCCATTTTTTTTTCTTTAGATCAATGCGTTGATGATGATGATGGTGATGTTGTTGTTGATGATGAAGATGTTCTGGATCTGAAAATGAATGGTTGATTTTTTTTTTTTTTTGATGGTTGTTGGGTGGTTTTCTCTCTCTCTCTCTCTCTCCCTCTCTCTCTGCTACTCTCATCTTCTCTTCTTCCTTCTTATTCTTCTTCCTTCTTCTTCTTCTTCTTCTGCATTGTTGAAAAAAAAAAACAAAAAAAAATCAAAATGACGAAACGACGTCGTTTTGAATTCGAGAGGATTCGGGGAAGGAAGGATTCGAGTTACGTAGCATGATTCTTTTTTTTTATTAGATCCGCTATGTTGCTCGAATCAACCTACCCCGAATGGCTCGAATGAGTTGGAATCTGTTATTGTAGGGTTTGGTCCATTTGCCCAAGTTAGCGTGAAACCCACGCGTTTACAAAACAAAGAAACGTAAGAGAGAGGAGAGACGAGAGAGAAGAGAGAGCGAGAGAGAGGACCATGAAGTTGAATGTGAGAACGGAGATGTGTTGCCTCTGAAGTCGAGCGACCGACCATGGTGTTCACCGTCGACCAGTGACCGTCGACCACTGTCCACCACTCTCTTTCTCTCTCTCTCTCTCTCTCTCTCTCTCTCTCTCTCGATTAGCGATCTTGTTGTTGTTGTTGGGACCTTGCTATTTTCATTCCTCTCTGTTTCTTCTTTATTCTCTTTCTTCTCCAATTAGATAAACTCAAAGAAAACGCAAAATAAATTTCTGATCCCACTTTGTCTTTCAATTAGCTCACAATTAGTTCTGATTTCTTTGAATATATTTATGGGTTTGTGTGATTTTTCTTGTATATGTGTTGGTTATGATGGGTTTGTGATGAGTACAACTTTAATTTATTGCTGATATTTCATATTGATGCCATAATCATATTATTTTTTCCTTCTTCTATTCTTAAGCTGAATTTTTTTTTTCTTGATTTTTTCTAAGATTGAAAGGAATGCATCTTGGAGAAAGAGGTTCACATGTGCGAACATGGCTACTGTGTGGGTGATTTTCCGACCACACTGCCCGCTTAGTAACCAGCTGGAGAGCACTGGCAGAATAGATGGCACCTGACTGACCTGCAACAGAAATATAAGAATCCCGCGGTGGTTTCGACCACCCGGGGGCACTCCGACGATCAAGTCAGTATATCTCTCAAAGATAAATCAAATACTAAACTCACAAGCTTGAGTATCAAAAGCATACCTTAGACCCATGGGGGTGCCTCTCTTTTATAAATATACTCAACCTAGTCCCAATAGAAGCCTAACTTCTATGGACTCAGGATTACTGCTAAATCTGGGACTTCCCAGGGATTAGAATAACCTCTAAGATTCTTATCTTACCCCAAACTGAAGTCTTCTCCAATCTAGGACTTCTTGGTCCATATCCAAGTTGAGTTCCCCTCTTCCATTCTAGGACTCTTGTCCCTGGATTCCGATATCTTCGGAGGTAACCTCGGCCTATCCGAGATGACATCGGCATAACAACCAGGACACGTGGCACCTCGGCTGACACGTCGGCGTCACCTTGGCCACGTGTTGGTATCAGAAAATATATCCCCACAACTGCCTCTAGGTTCTATTATTTCGGCATTCTGAGGTGATGGAACCTACACTGTTCGTTCATCTGTGCCCCTCTATTCGAGATCAAACTCGCCGACCTCAAAGTTCCCTGGACCTTACTGTCCACTTGTGTCAAGTATCAAGATTCATGCTTTCCAAGCTGCTTGAAATCGTACCTCCTAGCCGAGGTTCTGGTTCCAATGATTCGTAAACTTCAAGAGCTTTGCAACTGCTCCACTCACACTCTCTGGTGAGTTCCCGATTTCCAGTCATCTATTTGACTCCGGCGATTTTCATATTGGCGTTCATTTTACTTTGTAGGTTCATAAAACTCTTTACTTGCTATTAAGCTCAATCTTTCATAACTCTTCTGATTTACTTTAAATCTGCCTATTTGCCATCTGTTGCCTTCTATTTTCATCTGTCTTCAAGTCTTGAATTGTTTGAATGCCTGGCACTGTTCTTGTCATATCCGCTTTCTGTTACTAGCATCGTGTCTGGGTCATTACTTTCTTGTTCTTCACATACTTACTTAGTGCTTGTGTACTTGGCTTTATTCTTTGAACTTTGTCATCTTTTTGCCTCTATTTTTTCTTTTCTTGTTTTTCTTGTTGTATTTACAGATTCTTGCCTTCGTTTCTGTTTTCTGCATAGTCTTACGTCCCTTCTTGAAATTGTTGCCGAGATCATGGCAGAGAAGCTTTTCCAGCTGACTGCTAATGTCGAACCATCGTCAACCGTTTGAAGTAGATTAGTCCGATGTCCTTGCTTTAGTCCCTAGTTCTTAGGGTCTTCATTTTTGTACTTTTGTTTTCTTTGCATCTGCAACCTTTTTTGCTTTTGAAAAATGTCTGCTGTTTGGCCGATGTTAACATTCCTTGCTCCTTGATTTTCATTCCTTCTTCAACTATATTTGATAGCCATGTCGGGTAATTGACTTCTCGGATGGCCCTGAGCTCCAAAAGTCTATCTACTTCTCTACTGCTTCGACGTGCATCAACGTCGGTCCTCTTGCTCGTTGGATTATAGGTTTGGCCGACCTGTCGACGTTCAGTTGGTGGCAAGTGACCTCGGGGTCAATGCCAGGCATTTCGTAAGGTGTCCAAGCAAATACCCCAATGTTTGCTCTCAAAAAAGCTTCCAATTTCCTTTCCTCTTCTTCGGCTAAGCCTAAGCCGAGAAGAAAGAAGTGTTCTTCATCCCCCTCCTGGACGAGGATTTTCCTCAGTGCCTTTTCACCCTTCTCGGCAGGCTCCTTGCCGACATTATCTAGGACCTCTATGTCCTCGTTTTCAATCTCCATGAATTCTGTTTTGATCTTCTTCTATCTGCTCTTGCATGATTCTATACTTAGAATATTTTGCATGCCTTTCATACTTTGCCTCCTTTGTGCAATCTTCTCAGGGTTACATACCTCGGGTATAATAGCTACAAAAACTTTTACTTCGGCAAGATACTGACCTGTAAACTTTTCATAAATTCTAACAAGTGTGAAACATATACTACTCAATGTTAACTTTGCAAACTTTTTCTCAAGTTTCAACAAGTGTTTTAACAAGAATTAACATATACTGTAATAGGGATCAACAAGGATTAACGTAACAAGTGTTAAACAATAATCTATTTGCAAATTGCTACGAATTTCAACAAGTATTTAAACAACATACTTAGCTTTTTCCTCAACCTGTAAATTGCTGCAAATTTCAACAGATGATCACATGTGTGCCCCTCTATCCGAGATCAAACTCGCCGACCTCAAAGTTCCCTGGACCTTACTGTCCACTTGTGTCAAGTATCAAGATTCATGCTTTCCAAGCTGCTTGAAATCGTACCTCCTAGCCGAGGTTCTGGTTCCAATGATTCGTAAACTTCAAGAGCTTTGCAACTGCTCCACTCACACTCTCTGGTGAGTTCCCGATTTCCAGTCATCTATTTGACTCCGGCAATTTTCATATCAGTGTTCATTTCACTTGGTAGGTTCATAAACTCTTTACTTACTAT